CCTGCTGGTCCCTGTGCCGAGAGAGCTCTCGGCTGGCTGTCCCTGCTGGTCCCTGTGCTCTCCATCACCGCTAGGCTGCAGCAGCTCAAAGCACAAGCGCTGGCACCTCGCAGCCTCCCGGCTTTGCACAGTTTGCCTTCAGGGCTCTTGTCTCTCAGTTTTGACTTCCCAATCGTAAAAAACCTCTTTCAGTCTAAAACTCACCTATTTCTATATCAATTTTACTTTTAGCCCCGTGCTGATTAATTGTTCCTATTACAATTAATATTTTATTTTATAATCTGTTTAATTTTTAATAAATGCTATTGCTATATTATTATATATAATAATATAGTAATATTATTTAGATATAATATAGTAATATAATATAGTAATATTATTCGATATAACAATTATTTATTATATCGTTATATTAATTAGATTATAATTATATTATTATAGAATTAATTACAATAAATAATCTTTAATCATAATTCCATAATTATATATACATATTATGTTATTATTTAATGATAATAATTATTATTTAATAATATAATATATAACATAAAATTTTATTTATGTTATAATATATTCATTTAGTTTTATAGTAATTACATATATGTATTATTATGTTGTTATCTAATAATAATTATTGCCATTTTATAATAATGCAATGTATTATATAATACTTTATAACAATAATTTACTTAGTTTATTTAGTTTAGGCAACATCTGACAACTCTGAGGTGAAGAACTGATTAAGTTCAGAGCTCTAGCTCCAGGGAACTTCTTATCTTAATAATCAGGAAACCAGGAAGGAGCAGGAGAGGCTGACATAAACAGCAAGGGGCTTAGTCTCAGCTTTGGAGGAGTATTTTGGAATTGAAATGGTTTTGGGAGGAGGAATATTTTTAGAAGCAGAGAAAGAATAGAGCCCTGGGTATCTGATATTTACCCATCCTGAGTGGGTGATGGCCAAAGTGAAAACAGGGTAAAACAGCCCCATTGCATTGCTTTTGGTGGGCAAAGAGCCAGGAGTAAAAAGCAAAGCAAGGAGGTAAAATTTGACCTGGAAATATTAGATGCAGAATTTATAAACACAAGACTTTTTCAAACGTTCATAAACAGGGAGATCCTACTTGAGATTTTCACAGTAAATTTTTTGGTGGTGAGTGAAGGCATTTCAGGCCTCAGACTCCCATTTTGAAGAGCCTTTCATGGAAAGCCAAAACCCCCAACAGCAGCTCCACGTCATCCAAACACATCCCAGCAGTTTTTGTGTCCAGCTCTCCTGCTGCTGCTCTCTGACCCCTCTCCTTCCCTGGCACACACAGGGACAGATGCCAATCTCATCCCAGAGTTCCTGGATGTTGATTCCAGCCATGATCCTGGAGCTGTTCCCCCAGGAGGAGCCCACAGTGACGCTGAGGTGCGGAAAGGAGCTGCCCCAGAAAGGTTGGTTCTCTCCATCCCCTGCCATTTATCATTTTTGTGGAGTTTAAATAAAAACCCCTTGTGTTTGTACACCCTGTGTGTGTTGTTTAGCAACACACACAAAAAAATCTTGTCCCCAAAGAACTTTGCTCTAAATGTCAGAGAAGATAAAAAGTGACAGCAAAGGGCAAGATGACTCACAATTAATCTCCAGTTCAAGAAAATAGTATAGAAGGAAATTATTAGAAATTCCAGGTATAAAGTACTTGTGCTAATATTAGAGAATTTTCCTTCACGTATTTATAACCCAGCTGCTGATGAGCTGTTTCAGCCTGACCTCAAGCCTATATTTTTATTTGGGTTTTGTTTTATTCTGCGCCCTAGAATCCAGTTCATTGATTGAATTGCACCATGCTTACTCAGAATTACCATCCCACCCAAATTTAGCCTGCTGGATTTTCACATGCATCATTCTCAGTGAGATTTCTCTCTTTCTCTCTGTTCCAGCTCTGATGAAAGTCAAGGCTCCAACACTCTGGCCTTGGTGCTGGGCCCTCTTGCTGGCCTGATCCTGATTGCTGTGACAGCTTTTGCCATTGTCAAGTACAGGCAGCTGAAGAGATCTGGTGAGTCCCTGCCTCTCTGGGCTCTCAAGAAACAGCAGCAGCCTTGAGTTAAAGGTGCTGGGCTTTTCTGCTCTCCTGGTACCACACCAGGATGGGCAGGGAGGTCTCTGCTCCTCCTGTGACCCATCCAGAGAGCTCCAACCCCCTGCTCCTCACACTGACCTATCCAGAGAACTCAAACTGACCCCATCCAGAGAGCTCCAACCCCCTGCTCCTCAACTGACCAAATGACCCATCCAGAGAGCTCCAAGCCCCTGCTCCTCACATTAACCCATCCAGAGAGCTCCAACTGACCCCATCCAGAGAACTCCAACCTCCTGCTCCTCCTGTGACCCATCCAGAGAGCTCCAACTCCCTGCTCTGACCCATCCAGAGAGCTCCAGCTCCCAGTGTCCAGGCTGAGGCAGAGCCCAGCCCTCCCTGTGCTTTGCCCATTGTGCCACAGCATCACCTGGCACAGAGGGTTTGGCTCTTAACGTGCTCCCACCCACTCTGTGCGAGACCTGAGGGATTTTCCTCCTCTCTCCCACCAGATCTGGTGTCTGTGGGGAGCTACAGGACCAACATCAGCATGTCAGACTTTGAGAGCGTGAGGGACTTCAGTGCCAGCAACAGCGCGAAGGAGACCCACGAGACCTCCATGGGAGGGGATGGTGAGTGACCCCAGCCCAGCCCCGGGATCAGGGGCAGCCCTTCCTTGCTGAAATACCCCACAAAAGCCACAGAAACACCTGCCAGCCATTCCCCCTCCCCAACACCTTCCTTTCTCTGCCTGCAGAATTCATCACCACCACCACGGACACTCCGGACAGTGCTGCCAACACAACGAAGGCAAAAAGGGTAAGGGGAGGCAGGAGAAAGGCCACTGAGCTGGGAGATGTGGCCACAGCCCTGCAGTCTGTCCCAGGGGAACTGTCATCTCCCAGAGGCTTTGTTTATACCCAGGTGCTCTCCATTTTACCCAGATCCAGCCCCCATGGGGGGGTGGGGGGGTCTCACCCCTGTCCTCACTCCCTGTTTTAGCTGAGACATTAACAGCAGCCACTTTGCTTCAAGAAATAAACCAAGGCAGCCCCATGCAGCATCAGGAAGGTTGAATTTGTTACCAAAAATACAAATCACTGGGATGAGCAGATGGCTGGAAACCATCACATCCCACTTCTCATTGGCACAGAGAGCAGGGAGGGCTCTGCCATTGCAAGGGCTGAGATTTGCTGTGATCTCTGCCTTTCCCCAATTTTCTGTGCCTTCCCTTGGGCAAGATCATGGTGCAGTGGCCCCATTTGGCAGTGGCTGCAGGTGCCACATTCAAGCCTGTGCTTTTCAAAGTCTCTATCAACACCCAGGTGTGGGTGGTGTAAGTGCCAGGAGCTGAACTGGAGCAATCAAGGGAACTGTCAGGACATCAGTAAAACCCAGGAACTTTGGGACAAGGGGGCTGGATGCCAACAGCCAAGGACAGGCTTGCCAAGGAATCCCAAACCTAAAAGCTTTTGGGGTTGATGCTCACATCAGCACCAGTGTGAGCCACTGGATTGTCCCACTCCTGCAGTGTCCCCGTGTTATCCTGAGATATCCACAAAGTGCTGCCCATCCCCATGCCCTGACTGTGTCCTCCTGTCCTTCCCAGAGCTCCAAGGAGGAAGCTGACCTCGCCTACTCCTCCTTCCTGGTCACCTCCAGCAACATTGCCCAGGCCAGCTCTGGGGGGGACAGCGCTGTTCTGGACGTGTCCCCACCCCAGGACCAGGCCTGAGGGGAGGTGGCAGCGCCTGGGACTGGCTCTGCCTTGAGGATCACAACGTCAGCAAACAACACTGTTCATTTCTCCCACAATTTGCTATTGCTTGACTTGTTTTTTGCTTAAATTCAGCTTCGCGTGGTGATTTAGGAGGAGCGGTTTGGTGGCAAGGGGGGCTGGAAGGGCAGGTCTGAGTGAGGAGGTTGGGCTGGGAAATAGCAGGAACTCATCCCACCAGCAGCCCCAGTTCCTACACTGGGCTCTCAGAGGCCAGAAGGAGCATTGTGAAAAAAAAAATCCCATTTTCTTTTAAAGGCAGCTGGGAAACCTTTTAGAACAGCATCTGAAACCTTTTAGAACAGCATCTGATGCTTTTGATTCCTCTGAGCTTTCCCGACCTGAGGGCAGCACCTGCAGGGCAGACACGCCTGGAGTGTTTGTGTGTGAGCAATAAAGAATCCAGTGGCTTTCAGCAGACTGGGGAACTCAGCGTCTGTGGGATATCACAGAGGAGCCCACCCAGAGAGGCACAGAAAGGGTGGAAAAAGCTGAATATTCCACAGATAAAGCAGTGCAGGAAGAAGTGACAATGGCAGGCTGGGTTATATGGCCTACACGGAACTTCACTGAGGATAAACACAAATTATTACTGAATTGTGGATTCCAGAATTTCACTGAGGATGAAACATATGATTCCTGAATCATGGATTTTCAGTGCTGGGATGAGCAGGGCAGCATCTCCCTCCATCCACATTGCACCTTCCTGCCTGCCCTCAAAGGGAGGTCAGGCCTCACCTGCCACATCCCCAGGGCTGCATCCCCTCAGCAGCACCATGGAAGGGGTTTGGGTCTCAGGAAAGGTGTGGAGGGGTCAGGACAGGTCCATGAGGGACAGGGACAGGTCCACAGGTCCATGAGGGACCGGGACAGGTCCATGAGGGTCCTGTCCCGGTCCGTGAGGGAACTGGGACAGGTCCAAGAGGGGGCCAGGACAGGTCCATGAAGGGGCCAGGATAGGCCTGAAAAAGGGAACTGGGACAGGTCCGTGAGGGGGACCAGGACAGGTCCATGAGGAACCAGGACAGGTCCACGAGGGACAGGGACAGGTCTGTGAGGGATTTGGACAGGTCTGAGAAAGGGACTGGGACAGGTCCGTACTGGGACCAGGATAAGTCCATGAAAGGGCCATGACAGGTCCATGAAAGGGGCCAGGATAGGTCCATACTGGGACCAGGACAGGTCCATGAAGGACTGGGACAGGTCTGTGAAAGGAATCGGGACAGGTCTGTGAGGGACCAGGACATGTCTCTGAGGGGCTGGGAAAGATCCATGAAAGGGGCCGGGACAGGTCTGTGAGGGGGGCCTGAGACAGATTCATGAAAGGGAACCAGGACAAGTCTGTGCTGGGACCAGGAATGGTCCATGAAGGGCCGGGAAACGTCTGTGAAAGGGCCCGGGAAAGATTCATGAAAGGGAACTGGGACAGGTCCATACTGGGACAGGTTCCCGAAAGGGGTCGGGACATGTCTGACCGGGACAGGCCTGCGCCCGCCCAGAGCCGGGAAGGAGGGAATTCCTGACTCAGGTGCAGCAGGAAACGCGTGAGCCTGGAAAGCATCCCCGGCAGGCAGCAGGGCAGGAGAACGCTCGGGTTTGGAAATTTCTGAGAGCAGAAAACCCCTTTCGCTCTCCCTTTGTAAATGCTCTTCCTCCTCAGCCTGCCCCACGGCGTCTTTGCCCAGCTCTGCTCCTCCCTCGCTGCCTTGGGAGCAGCTGGGATGAGCTGAGCTCTGGCAGAGGAGCAGGGCTGGGCTCAGCATCCTGCAGCCCTCAGCTGCCTGCTGCACCCCCTGCCCCTCCCCACTGCTGGCACTCAATTAATTGTTCTTATTACAATGTGTGGCATCATTTAGTTTAGGCAACATCTGGCATCTTTCAGGTGAAGAACTGATCAAGTTCAGAGCTCTTGCTCCATGCTTCATATCTTCATAAACTTCTTATCTTAATAAACATGAAACCAGGAAGGAACAGGAGAGGCTGACAACAACAGCAAGGGTCTTAGTCTCAGCTTTGGAGGAGTATTTTGGAATTGAAGTGGTTTTGAGGGGAAGGATATCGTTAGAAGCAAAGAGTAAAGCCCTGGGTATCTGATATTTACCCATCCTGAGCAGGTGATGGCCCTGGGCTGCTGCCGTGCCCTGCAATGGGGACAGAAATGTAAAATCCATGGTTTAGGTGAAAGCACTGAGCCAGGCATGGACCGAGGGGTGCAGCACACAGGGTGTGATGGATGGGATGAGCTGTAATGATTGTGAGGCTGAAGGTGTGGAGTAAAACCCTCAAGCTGTGACCCAGAGCCCACAAGAATCCCTGAGGAACTCACCAAGCACTCCTGCTCCTTTGGAAGGTGCCAGCTGATTTCCTGGGGTCAGGGAGGAGCTGTGGCACCTCACTGCATCCCAACATCATTCTCAGGGGTTGTTCTTCAACAGAGAGCCATGGAATGTCCCAGACTCCTAAAAGAGTGATGGAGCTGAACAATCAGCTCTCCTGAGCACTGCCAGAGCATGGCGAGATGTGTTCACCTGTTCATGCCCTGACACCTGGACGAATGAAACCCATAGGAACATGAATTAACAAAATCAAAGCCCTGAGAAGCTTTCTTTTGGCATCAAAAAATATCTTAGGGGAGACAGTGAGAAGTCAGACATCTTTCCTTTGAAAGGGAATCACCAAATGTCACCAGCCTGACAGGGAAATGCTGGTGCTGTCCCCCAGCTGGGATTTAGGGCACACACTGGGTGCCAGCAACACCCAAAATGGGAGAGAACAGACCAGAGCTGTAAATAATGCCCACTTTTGGGGACAAACCAAGGGGGATTTAGCGGCACTGAGGTCTGAGTTTGGTGTTTCTGGTGTGTCCGGAAGGATGCATCATCCCTGGCATGCTGGAGTGACAGCATCAGCTGTAAGAGGACACCACACAGAATTCAGAAAAGTTTCACCAGCGAGAATCATATAATTCCTCAGAATTTTGACAAACAGACTCAGCACAGTTTCAAGTTGGGTTTATTTATGGTCATTACCACCAATTTCCACAAAACTCACTACTGAGTGTCAGTAAATTGCTCAATACACTCAAAAACCTTTTTCTATTCAGCAACCACATATCTTGCACAGAAACTTTTTTACTGATAAGGCAGAAAATATCATCTCAAAAGGAAACACAGATTTCTAGGGCCTGACATACCTGCTAGGACCTATTCTTGGAAGCATTTCCCACACTGCACTTCTCATTTCAGCCAGATCCATCAGTGGAGGCAGCCCTGAGAACGAGCCCACGTTTTATGCAACATCAGCTGTACCAGCCAGCCCTCAGCACTCATGCCCCACATTCCCTAGGCAAAATATCTGTAATTTATGACATGATCACAGCTTATATCTGCCAGCAAGAGAAATCCTTGTGGGTTTTCCCTGGGAGCATCCTTTGGTAGCAGCAAGGGCGATGCTGGTTTAATCAAACTCGTTATTTCTGTCTTAATGAAGACTCTGCTGATGTCCCTGGCTGGCAAAACTCCCCATGTTTGCCTGAATCAGCTTCACTGATACAGTGATTTATTGTCCCTCTCGTCTCTGCAAAGCTCCTGCAGCTCCTCAGCACCAGCCCATGGGTAATTAACACTGCCTGCTAACGAGATTTCTCCATCCAGTCCAGGAGGATGTCCAGCTCCCCCAGGGATTTCATGGCTGCAGATGTGACATTCAGCTGAAATGATATTTAAAGGAATGAGCTGTAAGCAGGCACCATCAGTACAATCCAACATAAAGAGAATTTAAATATATGTGTTAAGTATATACTATATACTAATATATATAATATATAATATATAATATATAATATATAATATATAATATATAATATATAATATATAATATATAATATATAATATATAATATATAATATATAATATATAATATTCATGTTGTGTGTGTGACCAGGCTCAGTCACCAACTCACCCCTTCATAGTTTGCAAGTATTTGCTTCAATTTCTCTGTGGATTCCTCCCCACACAAGCAATTATTCTGCTCATGCTGGAAAAACAAGATTAATTTCTTAGTCTTATTTTTTAAAAGAAGATTTCAGTTTCTGATTTTGCTGAGCATCATGGACTGAGACATTTTGGAACTGTGGGAAAGGCTGCAGGTCCCTAAATCAGGCTTTAACTCACTTGACAAGACACAAGGACAGGATAAATTTTGGCCTTTAGGACCAACAGGGGAGTTTGCTGGTGAGTGGGCAAATATAAAAATCTCCCAGTGGACAGAACATTCTTCACACCCCTCTGCTTTGTGTTCTCATTAAAAAACATTTATATAAACAGAGACTTTGCAGCTTTATAAATCTCCCAGGTTGGTTTATAGATGAAATATTAAGGGATGCACACTGGAGCAGAAGCCAGGACTTACACACTGCCCGAGCTTCCTCCTCGTGCTGAGGAAGGAGTTGGCAATGCTGCTGATTTTCCTGTTCACAAACGAGTCCTCGGTCCTGCAGTGCTTGAAAACCTTGTCCACGTAGAAGGTGAAGAGCTGATAAGTGATGCAGCACCTGTCTGAAGACTTAGAAAATTAATTTAATGATTAAAAGTTCTTCCAAAGGGGTGTGAGCTGCAGCTGCTCTCTAGGATAAAGCATCTCTGACAGGAAGCTCGTGGTAGCTGAGCACAGCAGGACAGTTTGATTCAGAGAAAGCTTCTTCAGTGGTACTTGATTGAAGCTGATAAAATAGATGGGAAATCATTTTAGGCTGATTTTCCAGGAGATCCATCCTCAGCAAGTCTCACAAAATGAAACCAGCTGATTTTGCAGCTGGGTATCAGAGGCTGAGACCCTGACAGCGGCTCCTGCCCAGGGCTTTGGGGTGTGAGAAAGCTGAAAATTTATGATAGATTTTTATGATTTATGACAGATTGCACTTCTAAAGGTCACATTCACCTGGTTTGGGATCCTGTGAGGGCTCCCCAGCCAGGACCACCTACCTTGACCTTGTGGAGAGAATGAGGGTGAGACAGGATGCTCAGGGTCCGGATGGGGTCTCTGGATTGCTGTGGAGAGGACGGAGATGGGCATGGAGCTGCTGGCTCCAGAGGGGCTCCAGGAGCTGCCAGGGGCTCCCCCAGCCCCCAAAGCCTGGGAAATACTCACAATATTGGCTTTAATTGCTGTGAAGCCAGCCCTGATCTCCGTCATGCTCATGGAAACCCTGCAGGCTCCAAAGTGGAAGATTCTGTCCCCAGCTATTGGCATCAAATTCATCCAGCAGGACACGGAGAAGAAGCAGAGGAACAGGGGGGATCCTCTCATGTCAGCTGCCTGGGACACCTGCCCAAGGGACAGAATATTCCTCTTTATTTTCCTAAATAACACAACTGTGATCCATATAAGAATACACACATTTTATTTCAAACTTGTAACTCCATACTCATTACTATCTCTTATCCATTTCTTTTTTGCTCCCCATGAGCAAGAGAAAAAAATAAACAAATATTTATTTAACTGAAGAGTTCAAAAAGAAAAGGAAAATTAAATAAAACATGGGTTAAAAATGCATCTAAATAAACATTAAAATCAAATAATTAACTGAAAAGCTCAAGAAGAAAAGGAAAAATAAATAAAATATCAGTTTAAAATGTATCTAAATAAATATTAGACTGTAATAACTAATAACATTAGTTATTCTGAAAATATCTTATCAGAAAAATAAATACAGTGAAATTAAATTTTTAAGTCTAATAACACAGAAGCAACAGGAGGGAACTGACTGAAAGTAACAGATTGCAAAGTCTTATCCCAAAAGAAACCAGTTTCCCTCTGGAACAGCATAAGTCAAACACAAGTTTTGTTAGCACTGAAAATTAAGGTTATTAATAAAAAAAATATTTTTGAGATAGGAACACAAGGAAATACCCAAAAGGACACAGAACAAAGGGATAAATTCAGTATCTTACCTTGCTCTTCAGTGTGGGCTCACCTCTCACCTGCGTCTGGCCTGGAGAGCTCCAAAGGAGGCGGTTTTATCCCGGTACCAGGAGGAAATAACTCTTGGATTAACTTTTGGGATTTTTCTTGCTTTTCCCAGCACGTATTTCCCTTTGTAATTTGCTGAATTAATGAGCTCGTGCAAGGGACCAGCTCCCTCTCCCACAGGTGTTTCCCTCACCTACGGAGGCGGGAACTCTGGCATCGCTGCGTGGGTTTCCTTTTGGGAAGAGGGATGTGAAATCCCAAAATTAGGGACCATCCTTGGGGTCACATCCCTAAAATGTCCAAGATGGAGCAATGCTGGCAATCCCCTCCAGCTGCCCACAGTTGGGATGTTGGAAGATCAGGAGCATCACCCCACAAGATGTCAGTGGTCCCAACACTCCAGGACTTCTGGCAATGTGTCATGGACACATTTTATGAAAAATACTTTTGCTAGGATTTTTCTCCTGAGAAGCCTGAGAAGAAAAGAAAAACAATAATTACCTGCTGCTGTGGAATGCAACAGGTGCATCTTTGATTGGTCTCATGTGGTTGTTTTTAATTAATGGCCAATCAAAGGTCCAGCTGGATTGGGACTCTGGTCAGTCACAAGATTTTATTATCATTCCATCCCTTTCCTTTTCTAGCCTTCTGATAAAATCCTTTCTTCATATTCTTTTAGTATAGTTTTAGTATATAATTTTCTTTTAATATAATATATATAGTAAAATAATAAATCAGCCTTCTGAAACATGGAGTCAAGATTCTCATCTCTTCCCTCGTCCTGGGACCCCTGTGAGCACCATCACAGCAATGGACCTGGTGGAACTGGTGAAACTCCACTCCAGGGTTTTCTCCATCACTGTCCTGGCACAAGTGGCCTTCTCCTGCCACTTTCAGGGAATTCTGGTCCCAAATGCAAGGAATCCTACCTTTTCCTTGGTAGGATCAAGGGCTCATGGAAACCCTGCAGGCTCCAAAGTGGAAGATTCTGTCCCCAGCTGGGGGACAGGTTAGATGTTCCTACAGCCCTTGGAGAGAGCTTCATTCAGTCCACAAACAAAAACATGCAGCAAAATAAACTCCCTGCAGTTTTCGGACCAGGAGGGATGTCCAGCTGGGCTTGGAGGGCACTGGGGTGGCAAAGTCACCCCTCTAATGCCAGAGGCAGCCTCAGGAGCAGGCTCGTGCAGGGAGCAGCAGCCCCAGCGTGTCCCTGTTGCAATGTGCCTTGTGCCTGTGGGCCAGGGCTGTCCTGCACAGATCTGCTGGGTGACTAATTAATTTATTGATCGCCAAGCTCAGTCTTGAGCGGAGATCTGTCACTAGGCAAATGGATTTTCTGCCCAGGCTAGTCAGGCTGTTGCACACAGGGTTGTTGGAGGTGCCCCAGGTGTGCCCACCATGCCTCCCTCACCCGCTGGAAATCAGCCACAGGGCAGGGCCCAGGCTGCAGCAGGTTGGATGTGCCCTGGCTGAGGTGCTGGAGGGATCTGGGCTCTTAATCCTCCCCCAAATTCCAGCTGCTGCCTGGAATTGCAGCAAAAGTTTTGCTGGAAGCAGAGGAAGTGGCAGCATTCCCGGGAGCACACCCAGCCCGGGTGAGGAAACAATGGAAGAGGCAGTGAGTTCTTACTTCATTATGTAAATGGCAGATGAACATGAAAGCATTTCTTTCTTTTCGGGTTTTTTTTCCTTTTGGGAACTGAACTGACGCCCAGGATGGGTCAGCCAAGTGCCAGAAGGCAAGGAGGAGACATGGCTGTGGGGGAGGAGGAGGAGAGATGCTGGGATGATACAGGAACAGCAGGGAAATGTTGGATTATCGAGGTCCAGGGCCTTCTACAGGTCTCTGCATGTGTCCCTCAGCCTCTCTATTCTGTCACCGACCTCCTGCAAAGCAAAATAAACAGCAGGACCCTCAGCACAAGGGGAAGCAGGAGGAAAAGCCCACCGGGGTGGGGAACAGCCCAGAGAGATTTTCATTTCGGGGTTTTACTGGGTGTGAAATGGTGGTCAGGGAGCAGCCCAAGTGCTGGACGTGGGGGATGCCCAAAAGCCTCTCATTTCAGAGCAGAGGGGGTGGAACCAGCAGGGTTCCCAGAATGGTTCTGGTGGGGAGGGACCTCACAGACCATCTCATATCCCATGGCAGGGACACCTTCCACTGTCCCAGGATGCTCCAAACCCTGTCCAGCCTGGCCTTGCACACTTCCAGGGATTCGGGGGCAGCCCCAGCTGCTCTGGGCACCTTGTGCCAGCACCTCCCCACACTCACAGGGAAGAATTTCTCCCCAAAATCCCATCCATCCCTGCCCTCTATCAGTTTGAAGCCATCAGCACACGTTGGACCAAACCCAGATGGAAGCAAATCCCCCCAGCGTGGCTCTCCCCAGTCTGTCATCAACCCTCCAGCTCCAGCAGCATGGAAACAGCCCAATAAAACAGCAAACCATCCCTCTTTAGCTCTGGGAAAGAAGAGGGAAAGAAGGAGCAGGGATTTCTGAAACTCAGCACTGTGACGCTGCAGATGAGCTCAGTGAAATGGGAAATGACTCCCTCAGGCACTCTGGGCATGGTTAAACCTCTGGGGCACTCAGAGCTGGGAATGGGGCAGGGAAGGCTCCTCTCCTCTCCCCAGGAACACTTCCAGCTAACGGGGGAGGGCTCTTCCCTCGGGGTTTTATGGCAGGCACGTTGTGACAGGGCAGTGACACCCCAGATAACAAGCAAAGGCAGCAGAGAGGGTTGTGAGCCAGCTGCCCTGGTGCTCAGGAACTCAAACTCAGCCCTGGGTGCCATTAACTCATCTGGGAAATCATTTCTGCAAAGCCCGTGATGAGCAGCACATCCCACATCTCACAGGCACAGAAGGGGCTGAGTGGGGATCAGAGGGAGCATCCCCACAGCAGCTGGAAAATAATGCTGTGTCAGGAGAATTAATCCACAAACATCAGAGGTTTATGTCCAAAAAGGAGACAGAGGAGTCCTTTGACTTTATTCCAGTAAGGGGAGAGGCCATGGAGCATTCCCCTGGGGTGCCTCAGATTTTTGGAGGATTTTTTGGAGGATGCAGCCTCCTTTTTATCCCAATTTCCCAACCACATTTCCCTTCTCTCTTTCCTCTTTCTGAGGTACTTGAGAGGCCCAGACTTCCAAAACACCTGATACCAGAGACTTTGCTCTAATGTATAACCCTGCCTCTTCATTTTTAATTCTTACAGAATTTAGGGGTTTTCCCCTGTTGTTTCTTTCATCTTTCAATATCCACTTTCATTTATCAGCAAACCTGAAGTTTATTTGTAAAAGCAAATATCTTTTTCCATTCATCAACCAATAGAATCCTTCCCATTGTTTATCTCTCAGTGCTGTTTTTTTCTACCATCAGACCCACAGCAGGAATGGTGCTCAGCCCACTGTCATAAATTTCATTTATCAGCAAACCTGAAGTTTATTTGTAAAATCAAATATCTTTTTCCATTCATCAACCACGGGAATCCTTCCCATCATTTTTCTCTCAGTGCTGGTTTTCTCTACGAGCAGACCCACAGTAGGGACAATGCTCAGCCCTCTGTCACCATCACTGCTATGGTGACAAAACATCTCCATGGTGGCAGAAAGCACCAGGCTGCTGCAGACACGGGGCTTGGGGCAGTGACTAACACAGAACACGGTCCTGGAGAGCCCAGGAGCGTGACAAGGACCAGACACTCAGAAGGGACAAGGCACTGACTCACCCCGGGCTGGTTACGTTGGGAAATTCAGCCCTGCTCCAACCCCTGTGCACTGGGAGTCATCCCGCTGGTGTCACTGGGAGTTACTGCACTCCTCGTTCATTTCAATATTCATTTCAATTATAAATAATTAATTTCAAATCATTCATTTCATCCTAAAAAAAAATAAATAAAAATCCTGCAAGAAATTGTGAATGAGCTGTTGTGATCCGCAGGCGCCCCGCTCTCAAGGGCTGCTCCCAGACCAGTTTAACACCAGGTTTCCAGTAAAGTGTCTGGGGGTGATACGGCAGTTTCAATAGTGCCTTTCAAGGCGCTTTCTGTGCTCTAAGAAGTTCTGATAACACTCAACAGCCCGGCTTTGGTTTAACATTCTTTGTCATCTCTCCTATTTCACAGCAGCTTTAGGTAAACCATTGTTTCAGATATGAGCCTGATAATGGTTTTTCTCAGGTCCCCAGAGAACGTGAGTGAGAGAAATGCTCCCAGAAATTTTCATAAAGGAAGAATTGAGCTTTAATAACAGCATCCAGCAACAATATCTGGGCTCAGGAATCCTTCCTGATCTCCTTCAGGAAAAGAGCTGCAAAAACCAACTCACAAAAATGATTGTGAGGTGTTACACTCGCCCTGATAATGCCGTAGCTCACCAAAACCCCAGTCAAATTTTGTTTTCAGCAGCAGAAGAAAATGTTTTTATGTGGTTTTGCTGCACTGGAGTAATTTCTTTGACACCTGAAGTGATGTAATTTGTGAGCCAGCCCTGCCCTCTGCGTAGCTGGGTGTCAACGGAAAGGTGAAACGCAGCTCTCAGCTCCTTAAAAATCAATATTTAATTGCCAAGAAATCCCTGTCCCTCCAATCCAAAGCCAAACATTAGCACAAGGAGTGCTAATGTGGCACTGCCCTCCTGAACCAGGCACGGACACCATACAGGTGCCACCCTGGTGTCACTATTTCCATGAGCCTGGCACTCTCTGTCATGGAAAGCCCTCAGCCAGCCCTGACCATCAGACTGCTCTTCTCTCTTAATTAGTGCAGCTCATTATGGGCAGAAAGCCTGGCCAAGGCCAACTCCAGCCCTGCCCTCACCCAGCCCCAGCTCTGCAGCGCTGCTGACAGAAGTAAAAAAAAAGAAAAAAAAAATTTTAAAAAAATTGTTTTTCTCAGTAAACTCGACAAATGAGTCACAGAACACTGAGTGAGGAGGTGCTGCCATAGAGGTACATCATGTTCCCTCTCCTCAGTCACGTTTTGAACCACAACCCCTTGAATAATTCTGAAAATCAAA